TATAAAAATGTTTTAAAAGTTTCTTACTGGTTATTAGATCCTTCCCCATCACAATTAATAGTTCCTGCTTCATTATTACACACCAGACTTTGCTGTTGTAAATTCTTAAGATCATGATCTAGGCTGCTCTGCAGATCAAAAAGATGCTGTTCCACAGCTGCTCTAATAGTTCTTTCTAAAATGCTACAAAACATAACACATTTTAGTGAGAAGTAGTCACACTAACTAGCTATCTGGCTACTTAAACATAACTGTAAGAACCAGTGTCATTATGGTAGTTAAATGGATAAACTGAAATATGAAAAGGAATACATGATACTGGCTCCAATTTTAAAATTAAATTTGCCCCAATACAAATCAATCATAATTTCACTATTACTGCTGGGGGTGAAGGGGATTAGCTGTCCCAGTAATTCATTCCTCCTTATTATTTAGAAAATAACTTAAATAGATACATTTCATGGCTATGTTTAAAAGTGAAATATTTAACCAACACTCAGCTAAATAAAAGGAACAGGACATTGTCCATATATTCTCCATCAACACTTTCTATTATTTCAGGGGATCACACCCCCAAAAAATGTATCTCAAAAGCTCTTTATGTTGTGTATTAGTTCAATGAGCATGTATACCTGTTCCTATTAGTATATGAAAAAACCCTAGTTTGGCTTATAATATTTCTGTAGTGAGCACAATGAATAAATGATTTATTTCTACAACTTAGAGGAATATTTAAAAACTTTTAAAGTGTGCCTTAAATATACTACTTACTCTGCAGAAGCTGGTAACATGCTGATGGAAGATATATGGGCACTGTAATAAAAAAAAAGAAACACACTATGACACTACTGAAAACTAAATCGCTACAAAACATGAAAATTGCCACATTTACATTAGTGTGACACAGAATGCACTAAATTTTATGTTTTCAACTCCATGAATTGAATATCAAAGGCTAGAAATACACTATCTAGTTGTGAAAGGTTTCAAATATTAAGAGAAGAAAATATATAACATATCACAAGGGGAAAAAAGTTAGTACTTTTTTATTATGGGCCCAGGCTCACTGAATCGAATAGTCTTACCATGTTCCCTGCTATCCTGAAGCAGCTGGCTTGACTTAGTAATGGAATGGCCTCCTAAAACAACAATTACAGGACCAGCTGGGTGGCAATAGCTTGAAGGTTTGGCATAATATTTCCCAGGAAATTGTATATGCTCTAAACCACCATCCATTATATGGTGCTATTTCTCCAATAGCCAGGATTCCTGGGTCCAGGAACCAAGAGGTGTAAAAGGAAGTGGAACTACTCACTATTACTCCTAGGAACTCATTTGCAACATTTTGGATTTCTGCCTCTGTAACCCCTTGCTCCTCCAATTTGGAGTTCTTCCAAAGGGAAAAATACTCTACCTGGAGACAGTACACTAATACCAATGAACTGACA